GCAAAACGGTGGTAATTCATACATACACAGCATCTCTCTGTCGTAAATGAACAGCTGATGAATTACACTTTTCTGAGAATAGATTATTGAAGTGGAGATTGCTAAACTGCAAGCTAACCGCTGTTTTCAGAAAGCAAGCGCATTTATCCAGAGTGGAGACAGCGCATGTGCACACGGTTGCCAGGTTGATAAAGATAAGTAGCACATTTAGCAGATATTTCCGTATTGCGCAAGTGTAAAGCTCTGTTTTGGGGATTACGTCTCTTTATATCAGCCAACCCAGTTGTGTTCCTCTGCGGCCAGATTAAACCTTGTTGTAGCCTATATACACTCTATTCATTCTTTTTTAGAAACCTTGCACTTTTCTACTAAATTTTAAACAAATTAAGCGCGGTCCACTGCTGCACACGTACCACAATATCGATACAGGGCCAGCTGTATCGATACTCGTATCGTCAAATCTCTGTGACGATACATCGTCGTATCAATATTTTGAACACAGCACTAGTGCTCACTGCACAAGTTAAATACAGATTAATCTTTGTTAGAGCTGTGGTGTTATTTGATTAGCAGAGAGAAACAGGTATTTATTGGCTGCTGTCTCTTTAAGACCAAACAGAACATTTAACAAGCACGGAGGAGTCAAATAAAAAAATTATGTCGGTGTCGATTTCCCTCAAGAATACCATGTTCATCTTCTCTGGTTTAAGAAGCGGTCTTTTAATTTACTTCAGCTTGAAAACCATCCATCATTTCCTCAATATTTGCGTCATTTTTGCTGCTCACTGCATGCACCTTCTCGCTTCTGCTGACTCGGCGAGAAGGCTCTCCAAGCGCTGCGCAGTTCATAAATAAAAAAATTATGTCGGTGTCGATTTCCCTCAAGAATACCATGTTCATCTTCTCTGGTTTAAGAAGCGGTCTTTTAATTTACTTCAGCTTGAAAACCATCCATCATTTCCTCAATATTTGCGTCATTTTTGCTGCTCACTGCATGCACCTTCTCGCTTCTGCTGACTCGGCGAGAAGGCTCTCCAAGCGCTGCGCAGTTCAAACGAGTCGCGCGGTTTCATTAGTTTCGTTACCGTTTGATGTTTCTCATATGCAACAGAAATGGCTGTGCTTTTGAGTTGAACAATGCGGTGGTCACGCCAGTGCGACCACACAAAATTTAGCCGCACAGGCAGAAAAAATGGTTGCAAAATGCAACAATTTGGTCGCAGTCTGGAGCCCCGTTCATGAGGCTGTTCTTATGGCTCGTTTCCACTGAGCGGTACGGTATGGTCTAGTACAGTACAGTATGATTCGGGATGGTACACCCTGATCACTCTTGCGTTTCCACCACCAGAAAGCAGAGACGTCATTCTCGTGCAAGAAGTGTGTGTGTGAAAATATAAAATTCTAAAATACATTGTTATAATTTTTGTGTTTGCGCACTCTGATGTAAACAAGCCCAACACACATGAGCAGCATGGCGGAGCGAGTGAATGAGACGCTTCATTCCCGTTGTAGCATGCGCTACCAAATGTCCGTTTGGTCTCGTACTGTATCGCGTACCTTGTCAGTGTTGTGCGCTTTGCTTGGCTATTTGTTGTGATAAACAGGAAAGTGTGATTAAGCGCCAGCAAAACAGTGTAAAGAAATAGCCTTTGTGAGAAGCAGTCAATTAGCAGAAGTTAAAAGCAGCTTGTAAGTGTATTTATTTCTTGTCTCAGTGTTTAGCGCAGTTGTCGTTGCTAGGAAATGCTTGTTTTGTTTACTGTGTGGAGATGTGCTGAAATCGCGTTTGGTCTCGTACTGTATCGCGTACCTTGTCAGTGTCGTGCGCTTTGCCATTTGTTGTGATAAACAGGAAAGTGTGTCCAGCTGAATTCAATTTGAGTTTTGCTAGACTAATATAAAAAGCTTAGTATACCGCGGCAGCCTTCGTGTGAAGCTCTCCTCGTGTGAAGACCGAAGAGTGTAAAGACCATTGACTCTACCATTCAACTCTACCGAGCAGGGACACCGGCAAGGCACATAAGTATCACTTTTGAATCATTCTCTTTCCTACTACTTGTTCCCCTTCTGTTTTCAGTTTTTATAACCAATTCTTACTATGTGTTTCCAGATCCCTACTATCACTACCACTCGCAAACCATGCATCACACACTGTAGGCAGCGCAATCCTAACAACCTGCGCACTTCGCCTACGTCTACTAATACACTACTCTCTTTTTCTATTGGTCTCTGGAATTGCCAGTCTGCTGTAAACAAAGCCGATTTCATTACTTCTATTATTAGTCATTCAAGACCAAACCTCATGGCCCTGACAGAGACGTGGATCAAACCAGAGCACAATGCTATACCTGCAGCACTCTCAAATAATTTCTCTTTTTCCCACTCCCCCCATTTGACTGGAAAAGGTGGAGGTACTGGTCTGCTTATCTCTAATGATTGGAAATTTAATCCTTTACCATCTCTGGGTATCAACAGCTCCTTTGAATCACATTCAGCCACTATTACCAGCCTCTTAAAATCCATTTTATAGTTGTTTATCAACCCCCAGGACCACTAGGTAACTTCGTGGAAGAATTAGATGTGCTGCTCTCAACCTTTCCTGAGGATGGTACTCCCCTAGTTATGCTTGGAGACTTCAACATCCACCTAGATAAACTTCAGGCTGCAGACTTCCACACTCTGCTTGCTTCTTTTGATCTCAAGCGAGCATTAACTACGGCTACTCACAAATCAGACAACCAACTGGACCTTATTTACACACGACACTGCTCCACTGATCATGTGCTGGTTACTCCACTGCACACCTCGGATCACTTCCTCCTCACTCTTAACCTCAACATGG